GCAGGAATATTTAGTTTCTAAGTTGATCAGTGAATGATAAGCTGCATTTATTACCTTTATTACAAAACAAAATTATGACTTGTGAATGTACTTGCACATAAACATCATAATAATATGAGAATGAGGACTGTATTCATCACTGTTGAAGAGGTTTACTGTTGAGCACTGATGAATCTTATACAAGACGAAATATGTCTTCTCTTTCAAAATGCTTCTTTTGTAAGTGAATCAGCAGTTCTACGCAAGGTACCCCTAGTGTATTTATAAATGTAACTTAAAGCAGAAAAATTGCTCATTTTCACTAGTATATTTTCTTGCCACTGAGCTGCATAATCAGAAGCAAATTTAGAAGGAAAAAAAAAGCAAATGGAAAAAAAAAACATCTAGGTGTGATAGAATCAGAAGAGTTTCTGTTTGATAGTTTCATAAAGATGGAGAAATGCAATTAAGGCCTTTTGGAATTTGTACGCTGTCGCTGTGGGTCCACCGAAGCAGTTTGGATCCATGTGCCTAGCCTGACCTGGTTCTTGGAGAGACTTTCACTTTCTGTCACCTTAGGAATGTTGAATGTAAAACGGGATGGTATATGGGAAGCAGCTGAATCCGCTTCACCCTGGAATACCTGGTTGCCTCAGAATTAAAGCACAGTGCTAGGGTGGAGAAATCTTGGGTTTGAACATCTGCTCCAAACACAACAGAGTAGATATTTGAAAGATGGCCTTCTACATATTTGATGGGGTGGGTAAACTTAGATTTCTAACTGATGAAGAAAGCTCCTGGGTTAAAGGGAGCGTGTAAGACTTTTAAGAAGTCTTGATCCTGGTTGCTTTTCATGTGAGGCCCAAGCCAATATATCCTTTGAGATACTGACTAGATCGAGACCTATGGTCTAGACTAGTGCAGGAACATCTAGTTCAGGAATTCCACAGGAGCTTTAGCATGAGCAGGGATACTGAAATAATCTGCTGGTGACTGGGGTTACACAATTTTCACATGCCTCCAGCAGGGACTTTGGCATCAGAGGACTCACTACACTTGCAGAGAGACAGGAGTGGGCCGAGAAGAAATGCTGAGCATCTCAATGCCATCTAAATACAGGATTTTGCAACTTAGAATGGTCATTAGAGTCCTAACTCCCTTTGGGGCTTGAGTCCTTACAGACCAGGATAAAAGAGAGAAACAGAAGAACCCGCTTCACTTCAAAGCTGCTGAAGAGGAAGCAATTGCCAGGAGAGGAGAAGAAAAGACTTCCATTACATATCTTTTTCATCCTTTTGTGCTCTATATTGTAAGGAAATAATACTTCTGTCTCAGGTTGTTATCTTCTCCTAATCCCGAGAAGAAGTCCCTGCTCCTTTTAGAGAGATAAAACATTAGAACAAAGAGAAAGTAGCAAGAACTGCTAGTCTCTGTACCACAGAACGTCACTGAAGCCTTTCCTGGCCTGATGGAACCCAAAGATTATATCATTTACTCCAACACTTGCATCAAATGTCAAGATCTATCTGTCGTCGTAAGTCAGAGGCAAGGTGTATTTTGCAGTGGTCTATTGTTTACTGGGACTTTATGAGCAAGTGTCACAGAGATAGAAGTCTATGAAGTTCAAAGAACTAAAAGATATTTCTCTGTTTTTTTTAAGAAAAATTCAGATGAGCCATATGCTCTCTTGCTTCATGCTACCTTCAGCTTGCATGTCTCTCAAAATGAAACATTGCAGATACAATACACTTGGGTAGTGAAAAGGACAGAATGCTCCCAGCAGCATTTCTTCCTCATGAGAGCACTCATCTAACACTTTCTAATCATTCTTATTATTTTTATTATAGTCCTGTGATACTTGTTGTGAGCACAAAGCCCAGGACATCTGCTAAAGCCTACAAAGAGCAACTTCAAAGAGAAAGAAGAGACAGCTGGTGATGATTTCCAGCTGACCAAGTACTGCACTGGTTATTGGAGTTATTCTGTTAAAATTAAACGATAGTACACCTAAATTTTGATGTTGCAGGCAAAAGTAGGGTTTAACTCTTAGTCCATAAGACTTGAAAATTCTTGTAATTCACAAGA